TTTAATCATAATGAAAAACAAAAAAGTGCAGTATTAATATTAAAGGGTATCAGGGTATCACTGATGTCCTCGGACGGGAATGCGAACATATTCTTTTTTTTTTTTTTTTTTTGATTTATCATATAATAGTTTAGATTTAAGTTCTAAAATTTTAATATGAAAGTTATTCATTTTTCAATTCTAGACGTATTTATTATTAAATTTTTTTTCCCAGTTATAAAGCTTCTTTTCTTTTTTCATAGAAAGTAAACATTTAAATGTAGCAAGAAACTCTTTTTCTACTTAAGAACAAAGGCGTGTGAACGAATAGAAGGGACGCAATTGCGAGAATGACCACAGGAGGCGCAATCAGCCTTAGGGATAAAGGGAGCAGGAGGGGTGCAGCCAACTTGACCCGAGAATGAGAAAGTGAACAGTAAGGATCTAACATCTTCGAAAGATACTTTGAAAGTTTTCATAAAAATTTAGTTGTGTGTTACAAAAATAATGTTTTAATTTGTAATGAGTTACTATAAAAAATTTAATATGGGACGTCCTGAATAAAAGTAATTAGAAAAAAAAAAAAAAAAAAAAAAAAAAACCTTTTATGAGTGTCCTCTAAGAAATTCTACATTTTCTAAATGAATTCTACTCAGTGCACTTCTGTTTTGGAATAGGTAAGCAATTCCCCCTTTTTTGAAAGTTATCGATATTATATAATTTATAATGAGAAAACTTTTTATGTCATTAAAAATTCATTGCAGTTGTGTATTTAAATGTATTTACCTAAGCTGAAAATTTCTATAATGGTAATTTGTTCAATTATTAATTATCTGATTAAGATTGTACTTGAAACTTTTTTTTTTCTTTTGCAGTAATCTCAATTTTATTAAATATGCTATTCAGTGATGCTATTACTCAGAGAGTTATTGATTCCTCGTTGTGCAGTTAGACAAAATCATTGTCTTAACAAAATTATTCCTTTAATGTATGATATTAATAAGAGGATAGTTATTTTAATTCTTATGTAAAAATTTTTCTTCGAAGAGTAGCTGATCACAAATGATTGATTGAATTAAGATTTGCTAATAATGCCTGAACTTTACTGATTTTATAGAGCTGTAGAGGGATCTTAAACTTATTTATATGCCGAAACATTTTCATTGTTCCCATATACAGGAATTGAAGTGCTTAAAACTCTTATGCTGTATTAAAAAATTCTAAGAAATGTGAGAACCACTGAATTAATGATGTGGGGAAAAGAATAAAGCCCCCTTTCTACTTCTTTAACAGTGAAGAATTAACTGTAAACAAGTTATAATCTTTGCTGCTTCTATCAATTAAAAAGAATTAATATAATTTGACTTTTCACTTAAGAAAGAGTTAAGGTGTAATTGAGCATATTTAAAGTATTATAGAATCTATCACAAAATTCTAATTCATAAATTAGTAAACTCAGAATTAAAATAAAAGTTTAGAAATAATTTTAACTTAAATTATAATCTCAGTAATTTAAAAGTAAGTTAATAAAAACTATATTATTTTTGAATTTTTTTCATGTTTAATAAAAACAATAAAATGAAAACATTTTTACTTCTTTGAATGAAAAATAAAGGATATATTGTAATCACGAAGAATTTCGGGTATCATATTTCAATACAAATATTCATTTTGATCTCTTTCACGAATCAACTCGGACAATTTTTTTGTATAACATCTGTACGTACAGACAAAGGCTCTTACACTCCCATCTAACTCCTCCTAAGTCATATAACTCCCGTCCCTCCTGCTAACCCACTTTTATTTGTCTTTTTAGTTGTATTATTAAGCATTGCTTTCATGCACTTAGTCACATACAATTCACCAGCAAAATCACAATTTTTTTAAAATCAGCATATTTTTAGAATTCCCGATGCAGTGTTAAATGTTGCCATATATTTTTATATTTTATTCAGTGTTTTCTCATTTCATATTATCAATGCTCAATATTAGTAAAAGATGGCTTACAAAACTTGTTTCCTGCCTTTTCATTACTAACTTTGTGTATGTTAACTTTATTTATTAAATATAAACTTTCGTTACATAAAATTCAATTCAGCAACAAAATCACAAAATATTTGATATTGAAAGATAAATATGCTACATTTTTCAAGGCACAAGAGGATCAAGCCAAAGTAGAACATAAAACAGGTAAAGCGACAACCTTGTATTTGGTGTAGATATGTAAATTCTCAATAGATGAAAAGGGACCCATTTGCCTTCGATTGAGAATTTACAAAATCTAAGCTAAAATCAAGGTTGTCGTTTTACCTGTTTCTTCTTACATTTTTCCCGAATTGCAGCTGCCTCCCGAGTTGGAGATAAAAATGTTAATGTTAAAATAGAACAATGTTGCCACTTCTCGCTTTCAAACGTTGATATTGTTAATTAAAAATTAAAGTTTTAAAAAATATGAAAAAATAATAAAACAAATTCTAAATTCAAAGTTCGTGCTTTCAGGTGAAGGATTGAGCGACCGAGCGGTAAAGTCGCTGAACACTGGTAGTTCGGTCCGAGGTTCGAATCCCGCGAACGGGCTGGCTGCGTGGGTGTTTTCGTGGTTTTCCCCATGTGTAACGTGTAAACGAGCTAGTTTCCCTTAGAAAGTCCTCTACGAAGGCATCCCTCCCCTTAGGCAGATAGCCCTCGAGGCTTTGCCGTAATTAAATAACCTAACCTAAACCTAACCAGGTGAAGGATTACATTATTCAAAATTTAATAGCTCTACGTACCATCGTTTTTTTACAATATATGCAGATTCTTCATTATTTAATTTCTTTAAAAATAATACAGAGCGATAACATATTTAGCAGCAACAATCTAAAAAGTTACTCAGACTTCCAAATAGAAGCTGAATTATTTATGTATTGCTTTTATTTATAAATAGAATTTTCAATGATTTTTAATAACATAAAAAGCCTAGCAGTGGGCAAATAAATAAGAGCGTTGAATACTTTTATTCAACGTGGGTTCGAATCAAGACAAGTAAGCTGCTTGCATTAATGTTTTAAATTTCCACAATGTGTAACGTAGGTATTAGATAGTTCTCTTAGAAAGCCCTCATAGCCCTTGTGTGCTTCGTTACATTTAAACAAATAATTATAACTGAAGCTTTTTTGCTAAATATCTTCATTAGGATGTATTTACATGGCTGGTATGTACTGCTGGTACATTTCTCTGGGGTTTCAGGTTAACTTTTCTCGGAGCAAAGCATGAACTTTGTTGGAATAATCATCTCTGAGCAACTTAAGTTTTCTAACGCAAAATCGTGGCTTCTCAGTTTCAAAAAGTAAGATAAATTATTATAAAAGTTTATCTTTCTTTCACAAATATTCATAAAAGTCGCACCAAATACGTTATTATATTTTAATTTTATCCATTTATTTTGTTCATAATTTAAGTGTTCGAACAAAGTTTATTTTTTCAGAAATAATTATAGTTTCTCCATAAAAACTGTTATCAATTTAACGAAAATCACCGCATGAAATAGCGATAGTAAAATATTGTTTCCAGCATGAATAACTTTCATGCTGGAAATAATTTTTACTTAAAAAATTTTACTTAAAATACTTCAGTAAAATTTTATATGAAGGGAGGGTACGCTTGTGTAGAATTTTTTGCATCCTTTGTAAATAAAATGTGAAATTTATAAGATGAAGTCGCTTCTCATATGCGTAGATAAAAGATAAACCGAGAAAATTCTAGAGAGAACAATTCCAATTCTACTTCATTTTCGTCATAACATTCCAATTCTCAACAGAAATTATCTCTTCTTTCTGTTCCTTCATATGCTTTGGACATCAGCACTATATTCCTTCAAAACAAACTACCATTTATTAGCGAAGACACCTAATTCGCATTCTTCACAAATCATTTTCAGCCTCCATACTTTTATGTATTTCCAAAAACAAAAATGTCTGGATGAAAAAAAAATTGAGTTTCTAACATGAGTGGCTTTGATGGTTTACAGTTAAAGTATGGTGCATACTGTTCATCATGCTCTCTTTTCCGTTTATTGTACAGTCGAGAACAGAAAGGAAATTTTGTTTTCCAGCCTTTCAAAAACTAGACGAAGTAAATCTTCATCAAAAGATAATTTATGACAAGTGCAACTAATTTTCTAAAAGTCAGTATACTGTTTGAAATTTCTGTAAATGCTTGGACAGCAAGAAACATTCTTCTATTGAAAAGAATAGCTAAATTCTCTGGTATATTACAAGAGCAATAATAATTTGTGGCAAATAATCTGTGGCTCAGAAGTTCTTTAGCATTATGACTTGTATTTTCCAAAATTATATTTTTCTCATTTGCTAATGCTGTAACGCTCGGACGAAAATAACTTACGTAAGTCTTCCGCCAATAACAATTTTAGAGCTTTATTATTTTGCCCATCAAAATGATATCGAAATCGAATTTATGTATATTTCAATTTTTTGCAGATACTCAATAAAATGAAACGAGTACAACAAAAAAAAAAAAAAAAAAAAAAAAAAAAAAAAAAAAAAAAAAAAAAAAAAAAGTGGAAGAAGGAAAGAAGGAAAAAATGAAGAATGTGTGAAGTGAGGCAAAATTCTGACAGCATTTTTGAAAAGTAATAAAGATTCGGAATCATTCACATCAAAATAGGAAGAAAGATGTAGAGATACATACATCATCTCCCTGTATTAAAATATTTGAGCAAGAAAACTTAGAAGAGAGGCACAGAAGTGAAATAGACTTGAATAAAAAGGAATGCAAGTATTCGTCAAATTCTGAAGAAAATTCGGACGAGAGGATTCACCTGATCCAACTCAACAAGACAAGCCAAAAGTATTGAAACCATAGCTGATGTGATTTACCATCGTGACTTTCGATATCTGAATTTTGACCAGGCAACAGGAAAAGCAATCGTACCAGATGCACTTCGTATAGAAATAGTGGAGAAAGGGTCGATTTATTTTCAGAATAATGTTGGGCCTTTTGCACAAAAAAATAACAGACCGATGACCTCAGCATGGTTTATCAAACAGTTAGGAAAAGGAAAAGGAGGTATGGTGAATAGATCTTGGTTGGTGTACTCTCCTTTAAAAAGAGCAGCATTCTGTTTTTCGTGTCTACTTTTTCCATCAAAAGATGCAGTCAGTAGCTGTTCTTCTTTAGAAACTGAAAGTGGTTTTAATAGTTGGAAGAAACAAACCAAAAAAAAAAAAAAAATTACTGCACATGGGAATTCTCAAAGGCATCGAAATTCTTTCACAACCTGGAAAGAAATGGAAAGGAGGCTGATAAAAAAAGAAAGTTTAATAGATGCCCAGCTTCAAAATCAAATTGCTACAGAGCAAGAAAAATGGCGACAAATACTTAAGAGGATGTTGTGTTGCATTCAGTATTTAGCCAAACAAAATTTGGCCCTAAGAGGCCACAGAGAAAGTATCACTGAGAGTCAAAGAAACGCTGGAAATTTAATAGAACTTCTGAAGCTCATCGCAGAATTTGATCCAATTATGAATTGCCACCTTTCGTATGTGCAGCAAAATCCAGGATCAACTACATACCTTTCGCCAGAAATTCAAAATGAATTTATCCAGTTTCTAGCAGTTGTAGTTAGAGAAAAACTTGCGTGTGATATCCAACGTGCCAAATACTATGGTATACTGTTTGATTCAACTCCTGACGCTGCTAATCAAGAGCAAATGTCGGAAACTATTAGATATGTAGATATTGGCTTTTAAGAAAAAAATGTCGTTATAAAAGAGTGTTTCCTAGGATTCATTCAAGCTCATAAAAAAGATGCAGCAAGTATAGCAGGTATAATATTACAACAGCTAGAAAAAGATTCAAAGATTGTCGATCACAGTGTTATGACAATGCGCCTGTAATGTCCGGCTACAAGTCAGGAGTGCAACAAAGACTCACAGCACTTAACCCAAAAGCTATATTTGTTAACTGTGATAATCATACACTTAATTTAGTTGGGGTTCATGCTGCTAAGTCATGAGGTAGCTTCTTTGACGTTTTTTAGTACCATACAAGCTATCTATGTTTATTTTTCAAGATCAACTCTCCGATGGAAAAGACTGAAAACTGCTCTAGGTGTATCGTTGAAGTCGGAGTCAGAAACTCGTTGGAGTGCCAGAGTAGAAGCTGTTAAACCGGTACATGATCAACTCGAAACCTTAGTAGAGTTATTTGAAAATATTGCAGAGGATCATGATGAAAATGCAGATACAAGAAGTGATGCAATTCAATTGTTGCATCGGATCTTAACTTTTGAGTTTTTTGTTCTTCTTCGATTCCGGAATACAGTACTTGCCAAGATTGACAGGGTTCAGAAAAGGCTTCAAGGCCCCACTATGAATTTCCACAATGCTGCTCGAGATATTCAAGCTTTACAAGACTATCTTCTACAAAACAGAGATGAGATATGCATGAAATCTCTTGGAGACGCCAAGGAACTGTGTAATGCTTGTGATGTCCAAGCTGAAAGACGACAGAGAAAGAAAGAAGAAGAAAATGCCTGGAGAAATTGCAGAAGATGTAGGACTCACAGCAGAAAATGAAATGCCTGCGATTGATGAAAAGTATGCTGGACAAAATACACATAGAAATAGACACAGACAGATTCATCAGCTTAAAGAAAGTAGACTCTAATTTTGGCTTTCTTTTACATATAAACGGACTAATGGCTGCAGGCAACGAAAGTAACTTGAAACAGTTTTGCATTTTCATGGAAAACGTTTACCATACAGACTTGGAGATGTATACTGAAATAATGGACTGGCGAATGCTACTCAAGACAAGAGCTGATGTTAAGCTTTCGACGCCAGAGAACCCGCTTCGCTTTATTGTACAGTACGGAGAAGATGTATTTCCCAATCTGAAAGTTACTGACTATTGGAACCTCCATCGCCAGCTGTGAAAGATCTTTCAGTAAACTAAAAACTTATCTTATCCTACCTGAGATTATCCATGGTACAGGAAAGATTGTCTACCTTAGCTTTGCTCAGTGTGGAGCAGCAGGTTGCCCAGAGTATAAATTTTGATGAACTAATCGATAAATTTGCAGCAGCTAAAGCTAGGAAAATTTCACTTTGAAATTAGTGATTACATTTGAAGCATTATACATGAAACTGTCATTATACATTTTCAAGTTATTATATTATTATATCCAAATGATGTTTAAGTTTTCGGAATTTATATTTGAATAATATTTTAGAATAATCATATTTTCGAACTATCATTATTGTCTTAATTATTTTACTACGTTCTAAGTTAAGTTTTGGTTTTGACTTTAGCGAAACCTTTAAAATATACGCTTAAAAGTACTTTAAAAATTAAAATATTTAATAATTTAAACTATTTAAAATTAAAAATATTTCATATTTTACCAAATTATTATTATTTTGAACAGTTAAAATGTTATTATTTTTAAAGTTTTCTTTTCGTTCCCCACTGCATTTGGCAGACGGGGAGGGAGCTCGAAATCTTCACTTGTCTCCGGGCTCTGATAACCCTAGCTACGCCTCTGTCTCTACCTCCGTATGAACTCTTTGAAATAAAACGGCTTGAATAAGAACTCGAGCCTCAGTTCGTATTTCAACACTTTGTTGGCAGTTATAAACATTGCTTTTCCTCAGTATATTTTTCGTAAAATAGAATTTCATTGCATAAGAATTGGAAATACTTCTATTTTTTAGCAAAATGCATGGCCATGTATAACGTGGATAGAGTCATTTTCCTTTCGAAAGTCCTCTCCGAAAGCATCTCTACACTTAGTTCTCACATGCTTTGCCATAATCAAACAAACTACATCAAATCACATGCCTGAAAATAACGTACTGATTCTGTTTTGGTTCTCGGTAAACGTATTAAACGCGTGAGGCAGAATATAATAAAAATTAACCCCAGACGAACACAATTTATCTCCCCGAATTTCTGCGTGACTGCCTAAAATGTTTCGGTTTGGTTGGATTATTTGATTATAGCAAAGCACTTGAGGGCTATCTGTCTAAGAGACGGGATGCCTTCGTGGAGGACTCTCTAAGAAAAACTGGTTCGTATGCATGTTACACATGTGTAAAACAACGAAAACGTCTATGTACCCAGCCCTTTCGCCCTGATTCGACCCGTACCGAACTACCAGTGTTCAGTGACTTTACCGCTTGGCCGCTACTGGGCCCTGCTTAAAATGAAGACGCAGTGGAGATATGTTCTAAAGTTTACCTTGAAATAGAAAAGAAGGCATTTACACCTTTTTTTTAGCACAAAATAAATAAACAAACAAGAAAAAAAAATCGAATCTTTTGGAAGAATCTGAAACAGCTTCTAGGGCTCCTGAATGCTGGCAAGAATCAAAATCAGAGGGAGTGTTTTGGGCCTTGTAGCGGGAGGTGCCGACTAATACACAAGTCCCCCCCCTCAAAAAAAAAAAAAAAAAAAAAAAAAAAAAAAAACTAATTTCCTAAAGTTTTTTTTTTTTTTTTTTTTTTTTTTAAAGGAAAGGATACCTATAATGGCAACTCTTTCAGTGATTAATTCATTCATAATTTTTTAGCTTTCCCAAGGATCTTGAGAGGCGACGAATTTGGATTCAAAATTGTCGTCGTGGCGATAATTTCAACCCGACTAGGAGCTTCTATTGTTTGTTCAGAACACTTCCTTCCAACTGACTTCGAACGAGATTTGAAAAGCGAACTACTTGGTCTTTCTATTAAAAAGAGATTGTCTAAGACTGCAGTGCCTAAATTAAAGCTGGAATCAAAAGAACTAGTGATATCATCTAAGAAAACCGAAAAGGAAGAGGTATGTAATTAATTCCACAAATTTAAAAATTATTATTATTTTTTTGTGTTTTTATGATAATTTTTTTGCCTTGTCTTCAGATTAAAGTGTATTATCTTTTTAATAAATAAACGAATGGTAAATATAAATAACTATAGTAGTAACAAAAGAAAGAGCACTGAAATTCGGCACACAAACTCTCAAAACAAAGTCCGCGTGCACCCCACTGCGATTTTTTTCAAAAATCGATTTAGATGTATTTAAAATTTAATATTAAAGCAATATTTTACAGAATTTTCTTATACGTTCTTACTTTAAGATCGAATTCTTTATCGCAGAATTCCAATCTGTGCAGCACAGGTCAGAAAAGAAACGAATGTGTTCCATATGTTCAATATAATTTACCTCATATATTTTTTGAAATCTTTCTTGTATCACGCGTTATTTTTGGTCATTATATTTCTAATTATTTTTGAATTTGTTAAATATATGAATCACAACCTCTTAAAAATTTCAGAAATTACAGAACAACCCTTTTTCATTTTTTATAAGAATGAACGAAATGCAATAACAGAGGAATTTCTGTGCGTTTGTTTTTGTTATGTACATTTGCAGAAAAACACAAAATTGTCTATTTCCTTCTCTAAAAGTAATAACTATATATAATCAACCTCTCTAATTTGTGTCATTTCAAAATTGATTGCTGTCATATGATTCTTGTGTAACTCTCAAGATGCAGATGCTTACGTAAAGCATCAACCAGTAACGATTTCAGGTTTGGGAACCAAAACTTAATATTACCTGATGGGGACAAATCTGAACTGAAATTAAATCATTTTGCACCGAACATTCATCTCAAACGTAATACATTTAGTTTCTCGCTTCGCACTGCCAACTTGCAAATGCCTGTTGCTCGGTTCGCTTGAAATATATTTCAAAAGTTTAAAGGTGCCGATGTAATTCTTCAAGAACAGGCTTGCTTATTGTGCCAACTTATGTTTGTTGCTAAAAAAAAGTAAAAGTTTGTCAGAAAAAATACAGAAATATTAGGCAGGCCATAATTGCAAGTACCTCGTCTTCTCTTCTGCATTACAGTTTTATCAGGGTATATGAGCCTGTGATGTCTCATTTCAGCCGTTCCATTTCATCTTATATGGAAGTGGCAACAAAAATCCTGCTATTTTCAGGCTTTCCCTTTCCTTCTGCACGCACTAATGATAAGAACATAAAAGTTCGGAGCATTTCAGCCTCTCTTTCACACTGTAGAAGAATTTTAAAAAAACATTGCGCTTAAAATTCTTAAAGCATTTCGTAGCTGATATTTGTATTATGTGTCTATTAAACTGACTTCCTTCAATTTATGGCCCACCAGCGGCTGAGTGGTAAAAATGCTGAACACTGGTAGTTCGGTCCGAGGTTCGAATTCCGCGAACGGGCTGGCTGCATGGACATTTTCGTGGTTTTCCCCGTGTGTAACGTGTGTATGAGCCAGTTTCCCTTAGAAAGTCCTCCACGAAGGCATCATCCCCTTTAGGCAGATAGCCCTCGTATGCTTTGCCATAATTAAATAATCCAATCCAATTCAATCCTTCAATTTATATTAAATCTTTTGGCAGTAAAATGTTTATTGGCGAGAAAACCCTTTCTCTGTTTGCTGTCGAATCAGAGATTCAAAAACAAAATTAATTTATTTTAAATAATCCGAAATAAATTTGTGTTAAATAAGAAAACCAAAAAAGGATTGCTTTTTAAGCTGTATGAGAAACACTTGATTCAGCCGAAAAAGAAGGATACATTCTGTATTTGAAAAGCATATAGTAAGCTTGCTTTGATAAAAATCTTTCAAAATGATCTCATTTCAAAAGATTTTTCAAAAAAAAAAAAGTCTCTGCTGTGTATACCGCTCAACATTCTCCTTCAATAATGAAACGCACATTTCTAAAAAAATTAATCAATAAAGTAATGATAAAATAATGAATCTGTTTCACAGGAAAACTGTGATAGCAGCATCGCGTATGATTTTTACGGGTCTCTGGGATATTATGTTTTTAATTTAGATGTAACGTTAGCACAATACTCAGTTCTGAACTTTTTCTTTCATTAAATGTAATTCTCAAAAAGATTTTAGCGGCGAGTGTTCTTTAGAAATCGACATGGTCGTGCCTCAAGCTAAGAATAACATAGAATGGTATATGAAATTACATAAAATGGAATATTACAATACATATTTGATAATTTTGCTATCATTGTCATAGTTAGAAATTGCTTAAACATTGCATTTTCGAATAATTTTCTCCTTGATTTAAGACTTCTGTCAGAAAACTGATAACCAATAACAGCAAAGGAATTGAATACTGGTACTGTGTACTCAGGAATATTTAACATGGGAGCTTGCTGTGCTTATGGATGCACAAATAGGTCTTCCAAAATGACTCCAGGCGTAACATTTCACAGGTAAGCATAGAATTTATTTAATTTTATATGATAGCTTTGTATTAATAAATGAAACCTAAATTAGTAACATGAAATGAAGATAATTTAATAGCAGCATAATTTATGAAGAGAAAATTACTTTTTGACAGTTTATCTTTCCATTAAAAGTCGGTTATATTTTTGATACCGTAAAATAAAATTATAGCATTTTTATATAATATCCATTTATATTTTATTAAACTAAAATTTAAGTAAAAAATAAATTTCTTAGAACGTAACTTTTGTGTTTTAAATTTTTCCATTCTTTTTACTTTATTTAAAAGAATAAATGATGTTTTCACATTAATTTAGGTTTCCTAAAGAGGAAAAGCGAAGAGAAATTTGGATTAAGGCCCTCCGACGGAAGGACTGGTATCCATCAGTCTATTCAAGAATTTGTTCCCGTCATTTTGAAGAAGAGATGTTTGATAGATCCTTGAATCGTGTTCTTTTGAAGGATGATGCAGTCCCGACTATCTTTAAAGAATTTCCATCTTATTGTCAAAATGTAAGTTCATAAATTTAATATTTCTCAAATTTATAATTTAATTAAGCACGGCTAGTAATTTTCTAAATCAGTGTTTCTGAACCTGTCGCAAAGATTACCCCATGAAAAATATCCCAGTTATTAATATTTTAATGCATTGTTATGAGACATAGATTATTTTTATAATTACTTAATGTAATGAATCATCTCATGACAGGATTACCCCATGAAAAATATCCCGGTTATCAATATTTTAATACTTTGTGATGAGACATAGTTTATTTTTATAATTACTTAATGTAATGAATCTTCTCATGACAACAACCTCTCTGAGACAATGAAAGGGATCAGTGTTTCTGAAGACGTAAACAAATATGTACTCCTTTAGATACTTGTTTTCGTTGGAAAATCTTTTGAAATAATATGAATGGTTTAGTTAGTTACAGAAAAATACACACAGGGGGTTTTAAGCCAATAAAAGGATGCCTTCGGGAAGGAGGCTTTCCTCAAGTGTTTTATAGATCAGTAGTATCAAACTGGCAACTCGCGAAGACATTTCAATTATGTATTGGTTGCAAATGTTTCAAGATTTTAATTATTTGAAGTTGAAATTTTTATTATTTTCATTACTACTAAAAACGAATGTAAATAACTCACCAAAAGATCTATGAATAGAATTAATTAATTCATAATGTGATACAACTTTTTGAATAAAATTTAGATAGAGATTTTTAAACATAAATATTGTAAACATAAATTTGAACTTCTGTCCCTTTTGCTGTATTACTATATGCTTTGGTATATTTAGCAAGCTAAATTAAAAATTTCTTTAAAATATTTTTTATTTTAAACCTATTTGCCAATGAAACATTTCCATTTTATGAAAACGTATATAAGATCAAAAATATTACCAGCACATCTTTCATCATATTGATGATGTAATTGCCTTCAACAACTTCAACAAAATTGGAAAAGCTAATATCTACCCTTCTTGCCTCCAACTTAATATGACTAATACAGTGCAAAATGATATAGTTTACCTTGATTTGCATATTGTAGATTACACTTTTCTGAAAATCTACGATAAACGGAGAGATTTCAACTTAACAACACTTAAATTAACTAACTGGAATTCTAATATTTCTAAAAGGGTCATAGTCAATACAGTAAACGCACAACTGCCTAGAATTAAAAGAATCTGTAATAATACAAAACACCCCCAAGAAGTAAGTATCTTACAGAACAACCTTATTCCTACAACAGTCATTAAAAATGCATTAAAAAAAGCTGGCCTTAACTTTTTCTTTTAGATTTTTTGAGTTAGATAATGAAATTTTACGCTTAAAGCCCTATGGGATGGTGTGAAGTGGATGGCTGATTCAAGGGATCTAATGTATAAATGTAAAATTAATTCCTCTCACAGCTTTAATTTTACTCTTCAAATTTGGCTCAGTACTTCTAATTCTATTCTTAAATATATTTTAAGCTTTTTCTGGTCATATCTATCCTGTTATTGATTTTATGGGCTTTTTTTCGTTTCAAGTAGCTTGATAGCATAGCCCTCTAGCTTCAAGAATTACGACTTTAATTAATAATTTACTATTTTTTCTAATTTATTCTTGCTTTCTACGGCCAATTTTTAACTTTTGTAGAATTAGCCATTTTTCTTTCACCTACACCCAACTTCCTTAAAACTCGTCGAGCAAGATGCCATCTTGAACAGTTTCTTCATTCTTCAACAAATTGCCACCCCCTCACGCATGTTCCTAAAACGTACTTGCCGTACCCCCTGCTGTGACAATGCTGAATCACTATTAGCTGACCGACTTGCTATGTAAAAAACGTCACTTGTTTGGTCACGTGACAAGCCAATTGCATGGATTCTGAAGTGTTGTGAAAGTGTAATTTCTAGTTTGTTGTATAAGACGTAATAAATTTTGTATGCATATACAATTTGAAATAATAATAAACCACTAAAAGGTACAGCTGGTAAAGAATATAGAACACAAACCTCTTCAGACATAACGCTTGAAGTATTTTATTTGGACGGCATAAAATATTTTTACCAGGAAGACAAATTTCGGCAAACAAAATATATAATTATGCAAAAGAAATTTCGTTACCGGAGCATAAAAGTATCTATTGTTGTACTTTAGGGTAAAATCCTAGTATACGGTGCAGCCTTGGTGCGATTTTAAAAATTATCGCCAACACCAAAAATTACCAAAAGAACGTCTATGTATATATAGTGATAGTATACTATACACTATATATAGTGATAGTATACTATACACTATATACTATCACTATATATATAGTATATACTATGCATAACTATATATATTCTTTGAATACCCATTTACTACTTATTGTATATGTCTCGTTTTTATTGCTCATCATGAAAGTCGCCAAAAGTAACCAAATCCCGTGTGCACCGGATACTAGGATTAAACCTACTTTAGATTTTCAAATATCAGAGGTTGTGATATAATGTAAGAGAATTTTGATTTAACATTAGAGATTCAATTTTGAGGGAGTTGGAGCTTGGCATGAAGGGATTTTTTATTTATTTTATAATAAAACAAGATTGGTTTTGTATTTTTGAAAATTTTTGGCAGAAGAACAGTTTAATCTTTTAATATTTCATTGGTATGTTAATATTTTCTGGAACTAAAATTAAAAAATGGAGGACTGTTAATATTTGCAGTAATAACCGATATTCTGAAAAAGAATATTGTTTTCGATTATTTAAAAATATAGAGCAACTTCTGATGATGTCCGTCTTTTAAAAAGGTACAAAAAGGCAAACTAGAACACTACTTTGTAATTGTCACAAGTAATGTATCAATGTATCAAAAACATTGTTTCAGTTTTGGATGTGGGTATTCAGTTGCATACTAATTTATGTGAATCACAGGAAAAAAATAAGCATTCAAAAACTTGGAAACAGTCATTATGGTATTTCTAGGCAAAGTTTGGCATGGTGAATTAATAATTTCAAAAAGTTGTGCAGTGGATTTGTCGTTCGGAAAGCACTTTGCAAGGTTGGAATGTGTTCAGAATATCATGGTATGCCTTGAATAATAAGAAGAAATGCTTACCAGCAAGGGTCAGAATTCAATAGAGCCAGGATTGTTGCCTATAGAGTGTGTGGATTATCGTTCTGTGATATCGCCCGTTGCACTAGTCGACATCCAACCACTGTTAAGCGAATATGGCATGTATGGAATGCTGAGGATTATACTGAACGGCATGCAGGATCTCATTGCCGTCCCATGATTAATACCCGAAAGGACAGGCATATTGTGAGGTCAGCCCTCCAAATTTACAACCACATCACAGACCATTAGTCAGAAAATGGGCATATTTGCAGCATGCCCAGTATCTGCTCGTACGGTGTATCGACGTTTGCATCAGCATGGACTATCAGCACAGTGTCCATTACTTTAGCTTTCCTTGACAATGCAGCACAGAGAGAGATGGCTACTGTGGTGTGTCCAACAACAAAGCTGGATATAGGAGGGGTACAATGTCGTCTTTTCAGACGAGTCCCGTTTCTGTGTGCATTATTCTGATGATCGTATAAGTGTCTAGAGGCTCCAAGGAGACCGCACATCGCCTGGTTGCATTCAGTATCGGCATAGGAACCCTAATGTGATGGTATAGGCAGCCACTGAGCACATGGCACACACATCTTTAGTTCGGATCGATGGTAATTTGAATGCCAGATCGGTACATTTGTGACATCTTACGTCCAGTGCCCTATCTTTGAGGCCTGCCAAATGCAATCTTCCAACAGGATAATACAAGACCACATGTTGCACATTGTGTTCTGACCTTCCTCGGTATGCAGTGTATTTGATTGCTGCCCTGGCCTGTACGGTCTCCAGATCTGTCACCCATTGAAAATACCTGCTCATGGTTTGCTGAGGACTGGCCTAGCAACCCTCTCCATCTAATACGATTGATGAAGTGTGGCATAGACTTGAATCAGAATGGAATGAGATGCCGATTTCTGTCATTCAAGTGAAATTCTACTCAGTGCCTAACTGGATAAGGGCCGTTTTAGCTGCCAGGTGGAGCAGTTGTTTCGACTGATTTCGCACCCTTGTAAACCCCCAAGCTGCTTACAAATTTAATCATTTTGTCTTCATGCCATACTATTTACGCACAACAAATATTTTTTTTATTTGCTTTCCTTCATGCTATAGCAATTTTAATGGCTATTAGTGTATTATTGATTAACAGTTATCTAAGAGACTTCAAGAGTAAGTACTTTACATAGTTTATAAAACTATTGCATATTTCTGTATAAAAAATTATTGATGCAGGATAGATAGCGCCTAAAGACTTCATGCAGCCATCAATGGAGTTGACAACACATTCATATTAGATGATTTTCTTTTATACTTTTCGCAACCACCAGTAGATTGCAAATAAAAAACAAAGTGACTTACAATTATAACATAGCCAAACTGTCCTGAAGTAAACATTAACAATATATACAAAGCTAAAATAATTATATTCGCATAATATGTGCATGACACTTTGTTACTAATAAATATCAGAGTGTCTTGGATCAAATTAATATTTGAACAGATGAAAAATTAAGTTTGACACTATCATAAGCAACTGCTGTTTTTCATTATCATAGTGGCAGGGATATCTTTGAAGATATAATTAATAGCATCATTACAACAAGGTGAAGTATAGTAAAACCACCCACTACTAGACAGTTACAGGATTGCTATATATGTGTACAGTGGTTCTCTGCTTCGAAATCAGGAACTCTCTATTTAATGGGGTATATCTGATAATGTGAAGTGTGCATTGCTGGAGGCTCGACTTACATTATCATCATGTTGGGAAAATATTTTGCATCATGACATAATTTATGTGCATGATAAGATACATAAAACTGTTTTGAGTGATATCAGCTGTAAATTTAGAAAGACACTTGGTACACTCCCTTATTAAAGTGGCTTTTCCATAGGTCTTAGGCATTGTTTAAGATTA